ATATAGAGCGTGGAGTAAAGCAGCTAAACTCCGCAGCTCCATCAGTGGCTGCATAGCTTTGGCAAGCATATCAGCAGTTGACATAGAGTGATGTATCCAGAGAGAGCATTGCACTTCCCACCTTCAACACAGCATTAATGCTGAAGGGATTAATAGCAGCCAGATCCAGCAAACGTGTGTGGCATCTCAAGCCCTTGACAAGCTTAAGAATCTCTGGCCTATGTTACAAGGAACTTTTAACAGTTGGATCCATTTGCGAAAAAAAGATTAAGAAAGTGAGCAAATATAAACACATGCATATGGGTATTTTGCACGCAGGAAAAAAGCACTGGCAGAACGGTTTCAAAAAATTGTATTACATGTATCCTTGGGTGTTCTTCAATATGTGGAACAGTTATTTTATATACTGACCCTATCCACTCTTTATTTTGTCAATAATATTCAGGTTACTGGCACACCTATTTAGACCCAGTCCCATTATTATCAATAATAATAATAATTGCTGCATTTGATATAAAGTCTTATCACGTCTTAGAGATGTCTCAAAGCGCTTCATAGGATACACTGTGAAGTGGTCTGACTGTGTTTTTTGTGGGCGAAATATGGCAGCCAGTTTGGGCATGGCAGTATCACCACAAACAGCCATGGAGTGAATGACCAATTTTATCTGTTGGCCAGAACACTGGGAGAAAGAAACTCCCTTCTCTTTTTGAATAGCGCCATGGGATCGTTAACATCCACCCGAAATACTGCAAACAAAAAAATGGTAAAATTAATCTTCCGTTGTTGGAAGAGATTTTTTGGGTGGACTGATATATTGGGTCAATTTGAACAATAGACCAGAAATTAGACCAATGGAAAAAGAAAATCCATCCTTGAGGTGAGAAATGTTTGGATGAGGGTTTCAGCAGAATTGGTGGTGAGGTGAGGGGCATAAGCACAAAATGTTCTGGAGGAGATGGAAGAAAAGGCTGTTGTGGCGATGGATTTCTTGTGGTAAAGCAGAACACCAATGTTATGCACCAGGTGGTTTCTCATGAGCAAGCAAGCAGCGAGGGAGATTGATTGTGTCATTCAGCAGCATGTCGGCGCTGGTGAGAATCAAACAAAAAAGGCTTCAGTCTTGTTGACGTTCAGCTGCAGAAACTTATGCCTCAACCAGGTCTTGATGTCAGACAGGCAGTCGTACATCAAGGCAGCGATGCAGAAATAGGGTTGGGTATTATCAGCAAACATATGGAAGTTAGTACCATGTGTGTGAATGTTGTTGCCAGACACATAAGAGAGGATGAGGAAAGGTCCAAAGGTGATCGGGCAGATATGGGACAAGGAGCCATTGTGAGGAGTATGGAAGCTTAGATTTCTTTCAGGCTGAATGAGGAGAGGAGGGAGGAAAATTTTCAGCAAGAAAGCGGATTGAAACTGGTTGCTGAGGAAGAGTGATAAGATGCAAGAATAATAATAATATTAATCCTTGCATTTGATATAGCGTCTTATCATGTCATTGAGATGTCTCAAAGCGCTTCATAGAATATACTGTAAAGTAAATTGACTATGTATTTTGTGGGTGAAACGTGGCAGCCAATTGCTCCCAGCAGTGTCCCACAAACATTCGTGGATTGAGTGACCAAATTATTATTATTTTCATTTATTTACTTACTTTTGGGGAGGAATTATTAGCCACATGATGTGATCCGCCAATCGACTAACAACCGGGTTCCTACTTACTGCTAGGTAAACAGAGGTCTGTGGAGTAAGGAAACTTGCACAAGGTTTCGTCCCGCCTGGGAATCGAACCCGGGTCCTCTCGTTTGCGAGGTGAGTGCTCTAACCACTACACTACAGCACTCCAATTTGTACCAGCTCAGGCAAGATCAATATATAATGTATCCAGATTGGTTGATCACCGCTCTAAATGTGGTTGATGTAAAGACGAACAGCAATTTGTAGAGTGCAGACAAATTATACACTGGTGTGATACACATCGAGATTCCTTTGATGTTTCTCCTGAAGTTCTTGTGCCTAGAGGTGGAGATGAATGAAGGTTTACCAGATAATTATCTTTAATCTTTCAAGTTGTCAGGTGACATGTATTGTAATCATTACAGGAATTGAAGCGATTCACCCAGAGTGACTAAACAAATCATTTGGTTTAAATAAAAATTAATTGTCATATTGGCAGAAGTGATTTCAGTCAGTGGATTTGAATGTGGAGAGCTCGATGGTTATAATGGTATAAGTGGCGGCCTGTCACCTTTGGAAATCTGGGTTTGTATACATAGCCTTAGGATCCGTGGTAAAGGTCCCTTCCCTTCGAGAGGCTATTCTTAGCACAGTTATAGAGGAGTTGAGTTTACAGCGCAACTCTGCCCGTGGAGTTCACTGTAAGTAAAAGAATGATGTTGGCTTGTACTTGTGTCAATTGGTTACATTGTGCGACTTAAATGACGGGGAATATTACTTTTCTTTAACCAAGCCGTCGGCACTAAACGAACAGCTGTATGTATGATTTACCATTATTACAGGTGACTGCTCCGCTTTTATTTCTACCTTGCTTTAACGTGACAGATCGGATAAAGATGTCTTGCCTGCCGAGGACCACTCTTAGTAATAGCAAGTTCCTTACGAGTGTTCAGAAGCTTAGCAGCTTCTCTTGCACTGCGAGCCAGGATTGCTTTGAATCCAAAAGGCTGATGTGCAGATGTTCGGACCTGTTCTGGGTTAGAATTTAATACTCAATTTCCTCTCAAATGAGATCAATAGGGAAGAAAAAAAACTGGTGGACTAGATTGCTTTCTTTTTTAAAAAAATACATAATAGCTTTTTTACAAGGGCATTAGAATAGCAGGGTCAATGAGTTGTATCTCCACACACACTCACGACTCCCCCCCCCCACCAAAAAAAATAAACCTTACACAATGAAATTGCTGTGTTATCTGTCACTCTATGTTAATGTTCACTTGTATGATTTGAGACAGCAAAAGAGCCTCATGAATTCCCCTCAAAACAAGCGCTCAGTCCTCCAGCCTTGCTCTCAGGAAAAAAAAGAGATAGAATTTAAGTCTTTCTCTACCTCATCGTGACCCAGATTTTGTCTGTCTCTCTCTCTCTCTCTCTCTTGCTCTCGTAATAATTTTTTTTTTTTTTGCATATTTTTTTTTCCTTCTGGTTGTTCGTTCGGACTGTGCAAAACCACGGGCCTGACCCACGGGCCAGATGTGTCACATTCTTTATCTTCATCTCCCGCTTGCGTTTGAGCCACTTTCAGAGCATTGTTGCCAATGAATGCTTCATGCAATAGTAAGTGGCTGTCAGTCTGACTATGCCTCCATTCAAGCTCCTGAGTGATATTTATTGGCCCCGTAATGGAACTCAATTCAAAGAGCAAATAAGCTTTGAACCAGTGGACTGGATACCGCAAGATGTCAGCAATTTAGTATGCATCAACTCACTGAAGAGCATGTTTATTCTCGCACACACACTGCAGCAATCAGAGGAACAAACTGGGTGTAATTGGACTGAAATTACCTAAAATCACATTGCGATTTAAAAGCAAACTTCCTTACATGTGAGCATTATATTTGCTATTGTTTGGGGAATGATATAGTGCGTTGGCACATGAGGAGATAGAGAGAGAGAGAATAAAAAAAGGGGCCATTATAATTTTATTTTTCTCTCTCCAGTTTAAGAATTGCTAGGCTGGGGGGAAATTCGAGAGATAAAAGGGAAGTGCAGCTGCACAACATCATGGATTTAAGCGAAACAAAAGTCTGCAAATAATAAAAAAAAACCTTCTCGCTGGCCTTTGTTTGTTGAAACGGGTGTAAATGTAGAATTCATTACGCAGCAAAAATCTATGAAAATTGTGGTTAATGCTCTCTTCCTTAAAAATGAGATTGAGGTTGAGAAAAAATGGTGAGGGCTTGAGATTGCAAGGACGTGTACAAAATGTGGCCTTTAACCCTTCAGGAGCTGGTTTTACTTCACATCAACAATCCAACCGTATTAGGAAAATGACATTTGCAGTCCATACTTCACACTTGTGTTCATAATCTAACCCTCGACCACTGTTAGAGCTCCGTGAGGACTACCCATTAGCTTCATTGATTGAGCTTGTGACCTCAAAGCAGACGGTTGCAGGTCGTTCAGTCACATAGTTGCTAAGCTGGGGTTCTGCATGTAGCAGCAGATGATGATTGAAGAACTGAGAGACCTGACCTACCATGCTCAACCACCACAGCTGCCCTCTCTACACCATCCAAATGGACAGCAGTTCTGACAGTGGTCACAGAGATTAAGTCCATTTGCCCGCCTGAAAGGGTGGTGGAAGCAGATTCGATAGCTTTCAACGGGGAAATGGATGTGTACTTGAAAAGAAATAATTGCAGCTGTGGGGTAAGAGCAGGGAGTGGGACTAGTTGGGGAATGGGACTTGTCGGTAGCTCTTTCAAAGAGCTGGCATGGGTATGAATGGTCCGAATGGCATCCTTCTGTGTTGTAAGGTTCAATAAGTCCATTTGAGACCAACAGACCCTCTCCACGGTGGGTGTGGGACAAAGTGGGGGGTTTAAATACTTGATTTTTCAAACTCACCTGAAAATGCAGATGGCACAAGATTTACAAAGATGATTTACAAAATGCTCCAGTCATTTCAACCCCAGGTGACAAGAAAAAGACCCTCTTCAATTCACTTTCTGACTTATTCTGGACATTAATTGATCATGTGTGTTGCTTTCTCGGTAAAGTTCAATCTGAAAAGAACATAATTGCTTGGCGAAAGAAGTCCAAAGTCCATCCAGTTCGCCTTCCACCATCCTGGCAGTCGCTTGCACATGTCATGTCCCAAACTATATACTGTATCCCCAGATATTATTTCTTAAAATAAATCCATCCAATTTGTTCTTGAAAGAATCGACAAGGAGGAAGATAGCTAGTCCGTCAAGTGGAAAATCATAAGGAATTTTTGTATTCTATCAATGATATATTCATCTTGTTCATAGCAGCTGTATGCAGCCCAACTTGCTGCTATGCAGGTGTCTCCTGGAGCCAAGTTACATGCGATGTCGCAGGCTAACCTAAGCAACACTCAATCACCTAACAACATGCAGACAGAGAAGAGCAGAAACACCCCTCCACCGAAACACAAGGTACTGTGACCGTTCATCCTATCCTGTTTCTAGTCTATTTCGTCAACAAGAGAAAATTTCTAAGGGACGATGTGTATGGCTCAGTGTGATGCTGGAAGCTGCTTTTATCGTGATGGTGGCTGGCCTGTCCCACCATCGGCGGACGGGCCTTCGGCCTCTCTGCCCCCACCCTCTGGAACTCCATCCCACACACAGTCCCTTCGCCTCGCTCCCTCCCTCACCTCCCTTAAGGCACGCCTCAAGACTCTGCTCTTCGGCCGCGCCTTGGGTCACCCTCCTACCCCTGCTCTCCATTACTCATGATCCTGCCCCCCCCCATCCCTGACCGTCCAGCGCCTTGGGACGTCCTCCCGACATGAAAGGCGTTGTACAAAACTAATTTGTTATTGTTGTTGTTGATCAACTAGGCCACTGTGGGAGCTAGCGAATGTTTTTCCCAAGCAAAGCAAAAGCTATTATTGTGTGTAATGATATGTAGACTTTGTGATTTTGTAGAGCCTCAGACGAGCTTGAAGATTTGTAAGCATGAGTAAACTGTGATGCCTTGCATCGATTTCCCTAAGCATCCCCACTGAGCCTGTGTCAGAGTTCACTTTCAATGGAGAAGAAAGATATAATTCAAACGCTGACAGGAGATGACACACATTTTGTTCGCTATCGATTTTGATCTGGAAAAGGNAAAAAAAATATGCATGGAATAGTCCTAAATATTCTTGGAACTTGTCTACAGACATAATACAAGAATATAGAGGGTACATTGAATAGGAGGGATGATAGGGAGGGATTGTAATCAGAATTTATACACTGAGCAAAAGACCCATTTCACTTTCAAAACGTTATTTTTCTCAACTTGAAGCTCATCCAGTATTGAGGGAATAAGCTTGAACTGGGACAATTAGGGATGCTGCCCACTTCTGCTTAGGAATGTCTGTGTTACCAGGAATCAGTATGTCCTGAGTTATATTAAAAACATTTGAAGAACCCAAGGCCATAGCAACCCATGATCATTTGCTCGTCTCCACTGCGAGTCCACTGGAAGTTACACATGAAACCACTTAGGGTGTTAAGACCTTCAGTCATTCTGAAATGACACGGAGGTCACCCTAAGGGATCCATTTGACCTCAGCAGAAAAGGACCAGGTTAATGTGAATGACCTTTCGTTCATCTGCAAGAACATGAAGGACTTCTCATGCTGCACAGCTTTGGAAGGTGGTCTGTGAGCGCTATTGAGGGAGCGTAGTTCACATCAGGTTGAAATTTAAAAGTATGCTACAGAGAAAAAACAGAGAAGGCAGCCAAAGCGGTTGGAGCGTTTTATTTTTTTCTCTCTCCTCTTCCCCCTATTGTTCCTGATAAAGAAAATCCCTGGTCTGTGTGAATAATAATAGCAATAATAATAATAATAATAATAAGTACGCAGGTTCCTGTAGAATGAAAAAGGCTGTGGATAGTTTTCTATACGCACAAGATGTTGTTTTGAGTTACAACCCCCTCCTCCCCTCCCATGAACTAATTGTCATCTTATTAATCAGTGCGGGAGTGTGTGGGTGCAGCTGCAGATGAACATTATCTAATTCAGCCATCCTGTCATGTGAACGTCCGATCCTCATTTGATGCAATTATTTCATCAACGGGATGATATCAGTAGCGTGATTAATTTATCAACCATGTTTTGCAACTGAATGTACCTCTTTGATTCTCATTAACTGCACTGATAACGCTAGAACGAGTATTTATGAAAAGACTGCCAAATTTTATCTGTTTATTGGTTTTGGAGCTGTAAGACGTGGCATTTAATATCTTTCTCTCTCTCTCTCTCTCTCTCTCGTGCTCCTGCTTGCTGATTGACTTATTTCTTCTGTTTTCCTGTTTTGTGCTTAAACCCCCGACAGGATGAAGTTGCGCAACCACTGAATCTTTCAGCCAAACCGAAAACGTTAGATGCCACGCGATCACCTGCTTCTCCAACTTCCCCCCACGTTCCATCACTGAAAGTGAGCATGGGGTCTGCCCAGGTCAAACCCACCACCTCAGCCACATTAACCAGCCCAACTAGTAGAATGACATCCATAGGTAAACCCTTGGCTTTTTATCTGTGTCTCTTTTTATCCTTCCGACTAAACCTCTTGAGTTTTTTTTCCCACCAAACACTGGATTTAATGGACTGTTTACCAGATTAATGGATTTATGAGGCAGATGTTCCGTATTCTAAAAATGGATTACTTTGCGAAGTTTGCAGGAATCCGTACAACATGTTCGGAGAAGCAGGGTCATTTGTTGTGTGATTAGTCTCTGCCTTCTGTAGAACAATTCCTCCATCTGTCAGGATTTCGTATCATGTCGGATTTAGCTTCTCATAACAAACCGCACCGGTTTTGGATCCGTGCTGACAATAAAGTAGAACAGAGGCGTCGGCCCTCACAATTAACTTGTATTGTGCGAGTAAATTCCATTTCCCTTAGTGCGTGTCATTGAGTGACAGGCACGCATGAAGTAACATGTTCGGGGAGAATTTTAGGGCAATATTTTCTAGATGCACTCACAGCTGTCCTTTTATTTTTATTCATCGTTTCAAACCCAAGGTCTCGCTACCTGTAAAGACTTGCGGAGAGGCACGCACGGAGAACAACTGAAAGAATGTGCTTGTTGCCACTGTCAAGTTGTAAATCATTTGCACTTTCTGCAAATTCATCTAATTCTCTGGAATTGCCTCTCGGGTGTTGGGGGGAAAAAAAAGAAATCTCTCTCTCTCTCTCGGCTAGGTTGAATCCATCAATTTTACATTTACAATAAGTGGCATGCTGTTGATATTTTCTGGTTTTATATGAAACTAAATGACATAAGTACCTGGAGATTTACATAACGAAGCCTGATTTCCTCCTCCTGATATGGGGAGTTATTGCGCACTCTTGATTGGCCTGGGTTCATCTGACCTTTATGTTGTTATTGGCACAATAGGCTTTTCAGGGTGAGGATATTTTTTTATGTTTCTCACCTCCCTTTTCCTATTTCTTATTATAATGTGATTCACAGCCCACTTTCCTGTTGCCGTTAGCATTAAATATCTATTGGACACGGAGCCCTGTAGCCTGTTGTTTAGAACTCTCGCCTGGCAAGCGAGAGGATCTGGGTTTGATTCCCGGGCAGGGTGAAACCTCAGGAAAGTTTCCTTACCCCGCACGCCTCTGTTTACCTAGCAGTGAGTAGGAACCCGGTTGCTGGTAGATTGGCGGATCGCTTTCCAGAGGTAATAATCCCTCAAAAAAATGTGAATTCACGACTGTCTGTGGGACGCTGCTGTGCACAATCGGCTGCCGCATTTCGCGCAGAAAATATGCAGTCAATTCACTTTACAGCATATTCTGTGAAGCGCTTTGAATGGTCTTGAAAATGCGCTAAGGCTCTATATCATATATAAAGATTATTATTATATTATTTCAACTGATACCTACAAAATTATCAGTCAATTAATTGAATAAAGGCAACGAATTGGATGTCCTCCTGACGTGAAAGGCGTTATACAAATGCAATTTATTGTGGTTGTTGTTGAATGAGTTTGTTCCTTTCTCTCCATTCTAGACATCCTGTCCTCCATCACGTCCTCCGGTTACTTGAACGACCACGATGCCGTGGCTAAGGCGATCCAGGAAGCAAGACAAATGAAGGAACAGCTCCGGAGGGAACAGCAGGCGCTTGATGGGAAGGTTGCAGTTGTTAACAGTCTGGGGCTAAGTAACTGCAGGATGGAAAAGGTCAGTTCACATGATAATGCCGTTGCTCTTACTTATGTGGTTCATTTTCGTCACAAGCACTGTTTGGTTTATTGTGGTTCTGCCTCTCGAGGGACAATATGCCTTTTATTTGGAAATCCAGTATACACGTCATTCCCCGTTCATTGGCACTTTAATGAAATTTAACATCTGATTATGTGGGGACTTTATTTTTAGTGTGAAGGCCTTACACAAACAATTCAGACTGTCCAGCACTGACTTTGTTTACTCGCTTGAAAAGCACATTGCTGATTTCATTTTTAAGTTTCTAATTAAATTTGGTCATGATTTGCTCCCAACAGCCAGAATTACCCTTTAAGAAATGAAGAATTTTGGAAAGTTTGGTACCCAAACTATAGACCCTGTGCTCCAAAACAAGTTCTGTTGCTATGTTTGGCAATTTGAGGATTTTTTTTTTAAACAGATAAATCCAAATAGTAGTCCTAACAACTTTCGTAACATTCAGTTAAATAAAAGATGTTTTATGATTCTATGTGTTGCATTAAAATAATTTTAGAAAACTGCCGTGCGCAATTGGCTGCTGTGTTTTGTTCACAAAATACACAGTCAATTCAATTTCCCATATATTCTGTGAAGCGCTTTGAGACGTCTCGAAGGCGTGATAAGGCGCTATATCAGATGCAAGGATTATTATTATTACTCTTAAGAAACATTGTAATTTTCAATAAATTGCTAAAAAAAAACAGCAGTGAGAATAAAAATTCACCCCCCCCCCCTACCATATCAGCACGTACAAAGGCCAAAGCAGGTTCCAAGATTTTCACCCCCGCCATTGTAGTCCTGCTAACAGCTGCAATTGTTGACAAATTTGGAGCCAGGAATTCGATGTAATTTCTTGAGATACTATTTTACTGCAATCTGAGATAAACCAGCATCCTGAACTTAAACTTAAATGCCTCAAGATTAAATTTACCCTTCGTTGTATCACCAACCACACAGTGCCACATGTATAACTCAACATACTCGCATTGTATTTATGAGCATAAGAATTTGCTGGCGAGAGAAGACCAAGGTCCATCCAGTTCGCCTTCCACCACCATCCTGGCAGTCGCTTGACATGTCGTGTCCCAAACTCTATACTGTATCCCCAGATATTATTTCCTGACAGAAATCTATCTCAATTGTCCTTGAAAGCATCGGCACTTTCTGCTTCCACCGTCTCCCTCGGGAGCCTGTTCCATAGATTTACTTCTCGCTCACTGAATTAGTGTTTCCACAAGAAATTTGATGTTGCTTTGGACCACTTTGGATGAGATAGGGTTAAATCTGTTTTGAAAAGACCAAGGAACAGAACCTTTGAACTTTAGGCTCGGGCTTGCTGGAATAGTTATTATCAGAGATACAACAACCTTTGTGGAAAGGCTAAAAAATACAGGGTAGGATCCTGTGAAACATTGTATTTTTAGACCTTTTTTTTTAACGTTGGCATGTTTTTAATGGATTTACAAAAAAAAATCCCTCTTAATCACAACATTAACCCTCCTATTATTGAACAGGGCGTGTAATTGTGTAATTGTTAAAGGCAGCTCTTATAATCAGTAAAAAAAAATCTTAAGCTCTTCCTAACCCAGCTGTGTTTAGGAACGAAGGCATAAGACAGCGCTGGATGCTAATAAAAAGTGAATAAAATGTTTCTTGGAAGCTCAAGGAAATTGGAGTTATTTGTTAAGTATATTCAAGTCAGCTGTAGATACAGCAGTTGGCGTGTTTGGAGAGCATCTGCACTAGGTTTCTGTAAAGAAGAGACATGCTTGCATTCCCCCGTGCTACCAGCTGGGAATTGTCAAATGACAACCTACAAAATACTTTCAGACAGGAAGCCTTCATTTTGAGTTTTATGTACTTGCAAACCAGGCTGTGTGGTTTGATTTGGAGCCCATTAAAATGTCTTTGATGGTATGGAAATACATCTTCATGAAGTCTCCAGCTCAAATACGCTGTTCGTTGTAGTTACAGATCAGTCATTCACAACTAATGGCAGTAATTGTCCTGACTGCTTGTATTGCAATACACTGCATTAAAATAATCCAACCCCTTAGTTTTGGCACTGCAAGTTAATCTTCTTTAATACTGATCAGCTGTTACTCTCCCACATGACTTCAGGCAGAGCCAGGCGACTATTCACAGTGTTTTGATTAAGTTACAAAAGTACAACCATCTGCCTTCACATCTTTCTCGTTCAATCACTTTCTCTGCTGCTCACAGCTTTCTTCCCTCTCCGTTCCACTTGTTTTCACGATAGTCCCGGTTTCTTGACTTGAGAGTCAAATGTAATTAAACATGGACGTTTAATACACACGGGTCAGTGTCCGTTGTTTCAAACAGTCTATTTTGACACGGGTTTGTGGAATGTGAAATCTCTTTGAGTTTTTCCTTCTGAAATGTTTGATCTCCCAACTCGATGTGTTTTGTGTGTGTGTGTGTGTGTGTGCAAGCGAGTCAGGAACAAACTACCAGGGTGGGCCAGTGTGATGGGCAAAGGAACTCCTGCCTCCTCACCAGATGGCTGTGAGTTTGTGTCTCAGGGCTGCTTGTCACTGTTGTGCGAGAGGGAGTTTCATAATAAATTCATGACCAGCTGATAAGGTGAAACGTTGTGTTCTTAGCGTTCGGCATCTGTGTGGAAGGGAGAGGAGTGGGGTTTGGACACGGTCATCTTGTCTCAACTGAATATACACCACCTGTCGGACAATCTCAGAGGTCCGTTGACAGCCTAGGACTGACCCCCTCTCCCTCGCTGCCTCACTCCCTCCCTCATCAAACAAATGTAACCATTTGGCAGCAACCATCTCCTGTGGGGAAATAAAGAGGGCAAACTATAGATGAAGCAAAGTTCTAAATTGATTGCTGGTCGTGGCCCGTCGGACCTCTGCTTTAGATCCACCGGTGGCATTCGGTTTGAATGACGCATCGAGCAGCTTGAAGCCTGAGGGATTTTTGAGGCGTTGGTTCATTTGTTTCAAGAGCACGACACCAGGGACCTGAAAGATATTATAACATTGAATGCGCGAAGCGTAGACACACAGACGGACACACAGACGGACAGACAGACAGACGGACGGACACACAGACAGAAGAACGAGTGTCCAACCTGAGTAAGCAGATCTGCATTGCTTCTACTTGGCAAGATTGATATTGATATAGTGGGAAAATGGAGGAGACAAGGGCACTAATGTCTCATAGAGTGACAGTAATGCCTCACACACTGCACCTGGCATGTGTCACTGCCCATTTAAGTGACTTCATCCCTTTGAGAAATGTAGAAGCAAAGAAATATATGTTCTCATTTTCTCCTGGCTTTAGACTCAGGATGTAGGTAGGAGCAAAGCTGATTGAGTACCTCTAATTCAATCCATTGCATGTCCTTGTGCTTAATATAGGGAATAGCCTGCCCAATTCCCGAAGTTCCCCCACGCACACTCCTGGCTCCCCCCTAAGCCTTGGCATCTGCCAACCTGCGCCTAATACTCTCTGGAATTAAGTAAGCAGGATGATTTCACTCCAGGGAGAGAGAGAAAGAGAGAGAGCAAGAGAGAGAGAGAGAGAGCGCATTCCATTCCAACAGTCTATCTGGATTTCCATGTGTAGGTGGGATGCGTGGAATTCTCAGTTTGATTTGGAGACTCTTTTAAGCATGTGTCAGACACCCGGCTGACCAAAAAAAAAAAAAATAGATCGCTGAGGAGATATCAGAGAAGTTCAGTGTTGGCAAATTCAAAAAATTTGGATGTATTTTTGAAAGATGAAGGAGATGGAATATCTTTGATGTTTGATGGACGAGAGGGATCTTTTCCAATTGTGTGTGTACATTCGCTGTGTGGTTGTGACCATAGCAAGGAGGTCGCTCAAACTGTTGGACCTACTTTGGTATTTGAGCCTCTGTAGGGGTTTGGGATGAGATGGACACAAAGTCACAAAGCCATGTCTACACTCAGTGGTGCTATGTTTTTAGTTTTCCATCCGATGTAGATGTAAGCAAGATAATAATGTTTTCCGCAGATAAAGCCCATTTGAAACAGGTTTTTAATCTGTCTTTGTCAGTGTGGGTATTTTTAGTCATTTGATGGCCAAGCCTTTGTAACAGATGCACTTCATTATATTACCTTGTGCACACCCACAGTAGGCTTAATGATTTTTTTTCCCACCCGCAATCAATTTTTTAAGGCATAAATTTAAAACTTCTTTCGTAAAGATTGATCTATTTTTTTCTCCATTCTCCCAATTGCCGCAGATTGTTCTGTTGTTCTACTGAAAGACGATTGTTTGATCCGGGCAACTAGCAGCGAAACACGTTGAGATGCAAGGCAACAACAACCTTGCGTTCGATACGGCGCCTTATCACGTCGTCAAGACGTCTTAAAGCGCTTCACAGGATACGCTGTAAAGTGGAGTGATCGTGTACTGTGTGGGTGAAATGCTAAATTTAGAGTCACTGTACCAATTGGAAACGTTATTCTTTTGATTCATAATTTGGCTTCAAACACTCAGTCACTATACTCCCCGCAGTAAAAATAATTCCTGTCAAGCGCTTTAAATAATTTTAACAGCAAGATAAGGCTCGGCAGCAAGGATTTTTATTTACCACTTTGCATGGCGCAAAGGTGCGAAAGTGGTAACTAAAAAATTTGCAGCTTCACCTGTGTGTGCTAATGCAGATTTTTTTTCTCAAACGCAGAAGGGGACAATACACTGAATATTATTTATCATAAAAGGATTCCAGTCGCCCACTTTGAAGTGTACGTTTCTGATGTGGTGCTGAGAATATTTATTCATTCTTTAGCAAGTGCAATTTCAGGGATGGTAATAGAAATAATAGGCGCTCTGGTGTACGGGCTGATATATTCAGTGCCTCGAGACGCTACCCCACGTGAAGGGTGCTAGATAAATAAATGCAAGTTGTTGCTATGTTCATCTGCCTGACTCGGGGAAAAAATACATCCAGTTGAGTTGCATGTTGCTCA